TTTTAGTTTTGTGGTGCCATCAATTAGTTTTCTACCTCTCAGATCCGGTAACAGATTGAAGTGGTATAGAAAATCTGCGCCCAATATAGCGTGTGAGACATCGGCTATAACAAATGTCCAATTAAACTTTCTGCGTAGGTTGAGATCCACTGTGATGAGTTTCGTTCCATATGTGCGTATGGTCGTGTTGTTTGCCGCGTATAAGCTCGAATCAGTTGGTTTGATATTGCGTCCCGCGAAATACTTTGGCAGTACTGAAATGTCTGCTCCTGTATCGATTAAGAATTGCGTACCAGTTTTTCTGTCGGAAACGAGTAAGCGGCTTTTTTGACGAACGCCGTCTGCGACCGCCTTAATACGCAGTGGCGATTCTAGTTTTCCGTCAGCTCAAGTTTTGCTTTTTGTTTCTTGAACGTGCATGGTGGGCGACAATTTTTTGCTTGTTCGCCAAATCTGCTATGATAATAACAGATATCGTCTTCACGTTCTTTGGACTTTGATCGTCCTCGTCCTCGCGACTTTGATCGGCTACGCCGTATGCTTCGCTTAACTTCTCGAGACAGGGATTCGACCATTTTCTTTAATTCGTGTAAGTTGACATCATCTTGGGGGGTTTTGTCGCACGCTTTTGCTTCGCCAGTGCTGACTACGGCAACCGTGTTACGCGTGACGTCCACTACTCTATCGGCCTGCTGTGCGAGTTTTGACAGATCGGTAAGCTCACTTATGGCAAGTATGCTTCTTACGCTTTCCGGCATTTGTTCAAGGAATAACGTTCTCATAACGGCCTCGTTGCATTGTCCTGCAGCTAGATTTCTTAACCGTTGCAGAAAATGTGACGGTTTTTCATCACCTAATTCATGTCCGCGCAGCAATCGTCTCAGCTTGGACTCGTTCGATTCATCGAATGACGAAATAATGCGTGTTTTTAGAGCCCCGTATTTGTTCTCGGCCGGCGGTGAGGCTAGGATATCTGAAACAAACGGTAGAATGTTTTGATCAAGATTAACTATAACGTATCGGAATTTTGTCTCATCAGCGGTAATTCGTGATAGAGCGAAAACCGCTTCGACTTGCGTGAACCATAAAAAGGGGTTATCCTTCCAGAAAGGCGGCAGCTTCACTATACGAGTCACGTTAACCTCCCCCTGCGGGTCTCTGACATCTCTTTGGGCGAAATCGGCTGAAGTGTCGGCCACAGCTTCCGCTGGCATTGGCAGGTTGGCAGGTAGCCCTCCCGTG